AGAGTCGGTAACTCCTAGAGGAGTTCACCGAACCCTCGCTTGGGCCATAGACCTACGCGATATAGGACTAGAGAAGGGGTTAGGATCTCTACCTCTCATCCTTGATAGTCGGGCGCCCCCATCACACTAGGGAAAGGACCCCACGCAAGGCATCGCACCCTCGTTAGCGGAAGTCATCCTTGCCATGGCAAGTTTGGTCACCAGAAGATTGAGTTCAGCCCTTCGTCGCCATCACGAGCTAGGCCAAGTGAGTCCATGAAGGGCTTAAGGGCTCCTGATGAGATTCTAATATATGGATATGTTAAGCCTCAGGAACAATGATTCTCAACCGAAGAGACCCCCGACCGACCCCTCCATGATCGCCCGGGGGCTCGAGGGCTATACCCATCGGGTACGCTCGCGCGCACCCTGCAACAAGGAAGCCAGCCCGAGCCTGAGCACACTGCGGGCCCCACTCGGGGCTCGGGGGCTCACCTGAGCCTCAGGCTCCCGATCGACGACTCGCATGAGTCGGGGCTTTGGCTCCTGCCTAGCCTATGATACCAGCCAAGGCCCGGGAGCAAGAAGACATGCCCCAAGCCGCCGTGGCATGGGGGCTCCTAGGTGCCGCACTTCGGGCATGGCCTTGCCAGCCGCTCCCACGACAGGGTCACGTAGGGGGTGTGACATAAGAAGACAAGTTTTCCTCGTCCTCTAGGGTCTTGGCGGCCCCTGGGCCTACGCGTCAACCCCTAGAGCCAACCTCCTTCGCCACCAAGAAGACTCCAAAAGGTCCACCAGGGGAAGGCCGGTCCAAGCCGACACAACCTAACACGCAGAGTGTCAGAACAGGGCAGCCGAACGACGCCCAAGGCTTCTTCAGCTCCACGACACCGCCACGGTCCACAAAGCACCGCTGCAAGACCCTCCTAGACTCTGGCGCATGTAGACCATAGACACATCCCCCCAAACCGCCATGTACCCGATCTATCTCGGTATATAAGGGATAAGTTCGGACCTTAGAGGAGGGGGGAGGAGAATCCTAGATAGATCATTCTATTCCTCATTCGATTCGCTCCTGCTCGGCACCGAGAGTAGATCAACCCAGAGAGAGGGGCACTGAGAGCTCCTCCACCGCACCCGTCGTCTTCCACCTCTCCGACGAGGGGAATGCCCCACCGACGGTGAGGTAACCTTAGGATTAGCACCGAGCTAACCCTCTACCAAATCTCTCTCTATGCTCTATTGTAACCCCCGATTTTGGGTGCTCTTGAGTATAAGGATCATCAATTGCTGGACGTAGGGCATCGATTGGCCCGAATTAGGATAAACCGTTGCGTCCCATCTGTGATTCTTGTATTCTTGAATCCACCCGAGCCACCGGAGACACGTACTCTGACACCGACTCGAACAATAATGCTTGCCGCGGTTTCAACCCCGCGACACTAGGTTAATGATAGGATTTGAACCTAGGATGCAAAACTCTTTTATAGTAGAGATTGCAACATTTAGCAAAAACCTAGTTTTACATTTAGATAGAATCTTGTATAGGTTTTGATAAATAGAAAATAAAGGCCAAGTAGTTTTTAAAAAGCTTAAATCAGTTATTCTCTTAGGCATTACGGTCCCTTTAATACATTTTCTCATATATGAACATTACATAAATGCTCACAAATATGTATGAATTATTCAGCCTACTCGCTGCAGCTTCTTAGTCTGCGGCTGCGGCTGTGTTGTAGTAGTTGATATATTAGATAGTAGTAGATTTTCTTGCAGCCAGGACCATGATTTATATAATTATTTGTGTGTGTACATAAATATATATTGAAGCAAAAATATCATTGCATGTCAAAAAATAGGTATCATGGTATTTTTATTTTTTGCCTCTAATACACATATCTACTCTTTTCTCTCTACTCCCACCACTTAGGTGTAGATCTAGACCACCTTGAACTAACAACAAAGCATAAAAAGCTTGCAACAAGGTAAAAAAAGCATATGAGGGCACATACTAACCTTCAGCGTGCACCTCCTAAAAAGAACAAGAACAAACCCCGTCCCCATAGATGGATTTTATTTGAAGATCTAAAGTTGTTCATCATGCACAAAGAGCTTGTCAAAGTGGGTGAGCTCGTGAGAAAGAAGAGAAGTAGGTGTGGTCATTATATAGGCCACTCATTAACAGAGGTGCGCTACTTAAGAGGTCTCCCTCTGTTAATACCACAAAGGCAGTCACTTAGAGTCACCTGCTTCTATTCACGCATTATCAGAGGTGGCCTTTCTAATCTGACTATATTTATTAACAGAGCGTTAAGAGAGATGGGCCTTTCCCGTGGGCACCCCTCTCCATTAACAAAGGCGGCACCCATTTCGTGGCCGCCTTTGTTAATCCAAGAACAGTCTTCCAAAATCGATTCTATAGTAGTGGGCAATCGACGCTGCCACAACTTAGGAGGTCCGTCGGAATTAGATCTCTAGCTATTATTTAAGATATGGGAATATTGGAAGGTTGAGGAGGCAATAGAAATTCAGTTTTGAAGATTCTAAGTGTGAATTAGGTGACAAAGGTGGTCGACTATGGGGAAGCTGGTGAAGGCAATGGAGGCAACATCGGTGTGATACGAGCGATGACGAAAAATCTTTAAGCGGGCACTGCTTTTTTTTATTTTTTAAGAGATACTATAGAAAAAATTGTGAACAATTGTCACTTAGAAGAAATTGTGAATAATTGTTACTTATAAGTTGTCCTTTTTGTACTAGCTAATTGTCTAATATTGTTTTCTAAAAGGTTAGGCGCCTGAAATATATCAACTTTCTTATTGAAAAGGTTAGGAAACCTGATTTTTGGGATTATTAAAAGGTTGGAAAACCTGATTTTTGGGATTATTTTTATATACCGATGGAGATGCTCTCATAAACTCATACTCCCTTCGTCTCGCAATAGAAGTCGTTATGGGATGCGTGCAGGTCAAACTCTCTCAACTTTAATTAGATTTATAGAAAATACATGCAACATTTATATCTCCAAATAAATTTATTAAATATATTCAACGATCTATCTGATGATACTAATTATGTATTATAAATATTAATATTTTTTTATATAAATGGTTAAAGTTAAAAAAATTAATTTCTCAGACAGCGAAAACGATTTCTATTTTTAGGACAGAACGAGTAATTGCCTTGTATGCCCCCGTACTTGTACCAAATAAATTCAAGATATTTCGTTGTGACGATCAACAGTGGACTCAAATCAATGCCTACCCAATTGAACTGCAACCAAACAGAACTCAGCCATGCACATCCATCTAGTCACATCCAGATCGGTATGGCCGCCTTCAAATCAGAGACGCAGGAAGGCTGGCAGACCTAAAGCTCCTGATGTTAACACGTTCAAACGTACGGAGTATACGCAAGTATATACAACACAGACACACAGGTCAGGCCTAAAATAAGCAATTGATCGATCGGCCTGTATCAAATCAAGAGGGCGTCCTGGGAAGTTAACGGCGCGTCAAGCATTGAATGGATCCATGCCCCAACGACCAAAGATAGAGGCGCCTCCATTTATTGCCACGGTTGGAGGACGGAGGAAGAAGAGGTCGAGACGGAGACGAAGAGGAAGCGGGCCGCACCAATTCGATCGTCAGCCCAACAAGCCCTATTTATGCCTTGGCCCTGAACATTATTAAAATTCAATTCAATTTTCCAACTGCGCTGCATGGGTGTTGGGGTGGCGAGCGATCGAGAAGTTTGGTGGCGCATCCATCAGCTCCCTCCTCTCGCACCGTCGCTTGCTCCCTCTTTATGATGGCCGGATTTGGGCGTGTACATGCGACGGCCATGAATGCTCATCCAGAAGAAGCACTTCATGATTACTGCTTCTACAAACAGAGTTAATGGCGTCGGTACAGAAGGGATCCCTGTTGTGCTTGTCTAGTCTTAGCTTGTTTCAGGTTATTTTAGTTTATTCTCTCTCACAGAACACTATTGAATCAGTCGAAATAAGTTTGAAATGTGACCAGCCGAACACCCCCAAGGTAGCACAACACAGTACGATGGAGTCTTTAAGGCGTGAGGCGCCATCTAGCTAGAGTGCTAAATTCAACCCATGTACCACTTGAACGAACGCTGCTCTGTTTCTTGAGCTACTTTTCAATCATGAAACAGTGTTTTCTTCTCACAATATTTTAGCGTAAACATCATCAGCCTGTTCGGTTGGCTGGTTCGTTTCGTTGCTGATTCGTGAAGAAGTACTATTGGCTGGTTTGTGTGAGAGAAAAATATTATTCCGGCTGGAAATTTACGATCGTTTACGATAAACCACAGCCAGATGGCTGCATGCCACTATCTTCGTCTCCACTCTCCAGCGCTGTTAACCCTGTCGTATCTTCCAAGCCAGGCAGGCTTGTATGGGATCCGGGATGATAAGTGTAAGCGTATCCATCTGCCACAACGGATCGGAAGGGGTTTTTATTAGAGGCGCCAGGGTCACAGACTGGCAGCAAGATCACACTAGTTACTACACATCAGACGCCAACAGACTTGATGACTGCTAGCACGTACGTAGCCAATAGCCATGGCTCGGCTCCCGGCCGGGTGGCGCGGCGTAATGGCGCGCAGCAGCGGCAGCGGCCGGCCAGCCGGCCGCGCGCGAGAGGCCTTAAATAAATAAATTAAATGGGGGCAAGGGAGGTGGGAAGAGGGGGTTCGAACCAAGCCCATTTAAGAACACCACTATACTCTAGTGCTCCTTAAATGCTCAGGCTGCCCTGCGCACCCTCGCCTCCCCTGATCCCCTCGCTGTGGCGTTGGATGCAGCTCATTTATGAGGAACCCCCTCCCCCTCCCCTCCTTCCTGCACGACGGCCGGCCTCTATAAATTCATGGGCATCCCACCCAGAGCGGCACAACCCCGGCAACTTGCGCTGTGCAACTCAGTCAGAAGCTGTAGCCCCTCTCTCTCGCCGTAGCTACCGAGTAGCGTAGCGACCACAAACACTCACGGGAGTAGGCAGGCGATGGAGGTGCAGCCGGAGCTCTCGCTGGGGCCGACGTCCCTGCGGTTTGCTGCTATGAAAAGTCCCAGGGGCTCGTCCTCCGACTCGGAGGGCAGCGGCAGCGGCGCCGCGGGGAAGAAGAGGAAGCACTTTGCCTGGGAGGAGGCCGTGTCCCATGCCAGCAGCCTGGACCTCCAGCTCGGCGATCCCCTGCCCCTGGACTGGGAGCAGTGCCTCGACCTACACGTACGTGAGCATACAAACACACTTTATTATGTTCCTGGTTGTGTCTGAAATAATTTCCATTCCACGCAACTAGCTAGGACAGTAGCATGTTTCCGAAATTTGGGATGTTGAATGTCTCTGCATTGCAACGATTTTAGGAAAAGAAAAACAGAGCACTGTCTCTGTGGCAATGCTGAGGTGGCAGGAGAAGCGCATCACTATTTTAATTTTACTTGCATGATCCTCGTGATGTTGATGTTTTTACACTCCACAAAACTCGTTTTCTTCCCTTAGCCCGACTGGTGCTGGTTTGGTGTAAGAGGAAAATACTGTTGGTTAGCTGATAAACCCTGAGTGCAACTAACAAGCGAACATGTTGTTTGTATCATGACCAACGTCAGTTTCCAATGTTGTTTATGCTTTTGTGGCACGCAGTCTGGGAGGATGTACTACCTGAACAGGAAGACCATGAAGAAGAGCTGGGTTAGGCCGAGTTCCAAGGAGGAGCAGGAGCAGGGCACCCTGAACCTGGAACTCAACATCTCCACGACCCCCTCGTCCACCTTTGGAGGCAAGGCGAGCAGCGCCTACAAGAGCGTCACCTCCGGTGGCCACATGGTGGCCGTGCCGTGCGTCAACTGCCACCTCCTCGTCATGCTCTGCAAGTCCTCCCCGGCGTGCCCCAACTGCAAGTTCGTGCAGCCGTCGGTGCCGGCGATGCCGCAGCAGACGCCTCCTCGCCGGCTGGACGCCGCCGTCAAGCCACTGGAGACCTTGAGCCTCCTGCACTAGCTTGCGCCCTGCAATAACGGCAGGCAGGTGACTTTACAAAGGGGGAAACATCAAATGCAAATCGAGTTTTACTCAAACTCAATAGTACTAGTGATGAGATAGAGTTGCTAGATGGATATAAATGTAAGGGTGTTGCGCATGCTACAATATGCAACTGAGACGATCAAGCAGTAATTAAGAAGAAATTAATTTAAGCATCCTCTCTTTTGATCGACATTGATTATAGAAATCTAAGGACGGGCCGTGGTGCTCGGTCGTCCGCACCATTATAAAGGCTTGTCATTAAAAAACGATAGTAGTACGATTTGTTATCTGCTGATGTCTGCCTTATTAAGGGTCTGTTTAGTTGGCAAAAAAATTTGGTTTTGGGTACCGTAGTATTTTCGTTTGTATTTGGTAATTAGTGTCTAATTATGGATTAATTAGGTTCGAAAGTTTCGTCTCACGATTTCTCACCTAACTGTGTAATTAGTTTTTTTGTCTACATTTAGTACTCCATGTATGTGCCGCAAGATTTGATGTGATAGATACTGCATAAAAATTTTTGGCTTTTGGGTGGAACTAAACAGCCCGTAAGACATAAGGGCGTCAAGGGGGTCTGTCACGATGTCACCTATCTCTCGATCGAGTCATGGCCACCGATAGCACCGCGCAGGGAGAAAAACAAAGATGTCTCGAACCATGGCCACCGATAGCTTAGCACTGCGTAAGGAAAAAAAGCAAAGGTCGATGATTCAGCGTGTTTCATGGCTAACGAGTCAACATGACTGATGAGTAGGAGATAGGACTCTCTTCCTGCGCACACGCCCACATCGGCCCGTCTCGCCCCAGTATCTTCACTGTTCATCCTTTTCCTCCCGACCCTCCCCACCACCACCTCTCTGGCCACTGCCCTCTGAGCTGCCCACCAATCACCCCTGTCCACCAGTTGTCCCCCACCGCTCAGTCAGCGGTGCCGCCGCCTTGCGCCTTGCGCCCTCGAACCGTCACCGCCGCCGGGCCGGCCATCGCCCCGGCCTAAAATCAATCTAGGGCCGAAGGAGAATTGAAGGTTCTCGAAGCTCCGCTACCGGCAATCCTAACCCTAACAGCCGCCGCCCCATTGGCGCCGGCCTCGACCATTGCCTGCAGCCGGCGTCGAGGACACCGCCGCACAGCTCCGCCCGCCCCCGCAACCCCTGCCCTCCCTAACGAAGATCGGATAAGCCCGTGTTTAGTTAAAAAAAAAGTTCCAAAAAAGTGCTACAGTATCCATCACATCGAATCTTACGATACGTGCATGGAGCATTAAATGTAGACGAAAAAAAACTAATTGCACAGTTTGGTTGGAAATCGCGAGACGAACGTTTTGAGCCTAATTAATCCATGATTGAACACTAATTGCCAAATAAAAACGAAAGTGCTACGGTAGCCAAATTCCAACTTTTCAACCAACTAAGAATTTGGGATGAGATGACTGTATACAACACGATGACACATTACACGCCAACAGGCACAACGTGTCACCTCAGAGGTCTGTGGTCACAGCGACTGGCTATTATGGATCCATCCAAGAAGCAGGTGGCTGCTCAGTTTGTTTGGTATGCACCGAAATTTGATCACCCGGGAGTTGGCTCAAACTTGAAAAGGAAATGAATTTCTAAACCAATAGAAACTACATCTCACAAAATTTGGCATGATTCAATCATAATTGGCATGAGGGAGTGGACACTAAACCTTAGCAAACACATGCCAACTCCTGTCAAGTTTGGTGGTTTCACTTGCCAGTCCATGCAGGTTCTTCCGAACAGCGGCGGATCCAGGGAATATTTCAGGAGGGCTGAACAACACTGCTGCTTGATCTTAAGTCTCAGCTCCCCTATACTATAAAACTTTACCTAAAAATTTATTATGGCTCCACAAGGAGGTTCCACTGCTGTCCGCCCCTGCTTCCCAACCATGCAAGCAAGAGAGCACTCCAGTACATTCTGGATCCTGCACAAGAGAAAAGCACAGCAATTAATGCATTCAATGTTGGAAAATGGATGTGCTTAGCCCTAAGAAATTAATGCCTTTATAGCGTGTTAATTGTCTGTTGCTCAATATAAATGGTCCAAGTCAACAAAGAAGTGTCATTTCCATGTAAAACTGCCTGGTTTTGCGCATTGACAGTCCGACATGAGTACATGGCCAGTGTCGGCGACACAACAAATTATGTAAATCGTGAACTAAATTCCAAAAAAAAAACACTCCTGTTGCACTGTTGCATATTATGTTTAATAAAATGTAACACCACATAGTCTATTATTCTAAAAATGATACATAAAAAAGAAGAACGAATTTATCATAGCAATTGCCCTGCATTTTGTAATACTTGTTGCACCCTGAATTTTGTATAATGTCATCTGATGCATAGTATAGGACAAAAGGCAGCTATTCCTAATTTTGCATGTCTTAATCAAACATAACTCCTTGATGCTTAAAACAGTTTGCTAGATGGTAGTTTGTACTAACTTGGCCTTCGTAATAAAGAGTATTTATGGTTACTAAATACTCCTCAGTGCACCACTGTACTAGCACATCTTTTACATCACGAAAGTTGCACCAGACTCTCGCGCATCTGATTCGGCCACGCAGCCTGCTTGTTCTCAGCCGTCGAATTTTGATCGAGCGTGCAGAAACGGCCACAGAAGCCGACGTCTCCAGAACCTTCCTCTCGAGCTCATGATTCGCAAGCGACTCCTCGCTGTCGTCGCCGGGCCACCGCCTCCCTCTGGCCTTTACTGACCCCGCGACCTCTGCGAGCCCCACGCCCACGCCGGCGTGGCCGCAGCCACCGTGCCCGCGCCCCCCGCCCGCTCCAGGGTGGCCGCAGCCGCCACGCCTGCACCCTTGCTCGCGCCGGGGTCTCCGGGACCGCCGCTCGCGCGCCCCCGCCTGTGCCGGGGTCGCAGGACTGCTTAGTCGTACTTCGCGCTCCTCCGCGCGAGCAACTCCTTCCACCTGTGACCCCTCCTCGCCGCAGCTGCGCAGCCCTTACGAGCTGATGCCTGATGGCCTCCGCGCCGGGGAGCAGCCGCTCGCACCGGTGGAGCCGCTGTGCGCCGAGAGCCCACGAAGCTCGCGGCGCCGTAGTAGCGTGCGCCCGGTGGCCGGCCGCGCACGCGTCGTGAAGCCGACCCCGCCCGCGCCGGGGCCACGTCGCCGCGGCGGCGGTGGCTGAGAGCGTGCACGCGCCAGGCCGGAGGCGGCGGCGCTCTCGCGGGACTGGCCGGCATAGGAGACATCGGTCTGCAGCGATCCCGACCCAGCGATGGTGAAGACAACAGCTGGACAGCGCCACTCGTGTTCCCGTGTTCTCGTCGTTGCCAACGACCAAAGAACTCAATGCGGCATCGCCGCTTCCATGGATAATGAAGCCAATGTGTTCGATGAAATGGGAACAAGGTATCTTTTTTTTTATGTATTTCTTCCTCTCAATCTTTCTAGATGATTTGTACATACCACATCTCTATCGTTACAGAGTAACAGAGATGTCATCGCCGCCGCTGCGTGCATCCACGCACCGCTCGCTCAGCTCAGGGACAAGGCTGCGGGATTCTGCGCCGGGGTGGCCAGGGTGCTCGCTGCACTCCGGGGTCTTCTCGAGCAGCGGGTGCCAACGACATCTGAAGGTTCGCCCTAGTTTCATGTACTTTGCCCTTGATTACTTTGCATCATGAAGCTGATCCCCAATATCATCATAGTAACCTATTCCCGAGTTGGCTTATTGCAATGTTTTACTGCTTGTGTGATGTGGTCTGATCTTATTGTACATATCCCCTGTTTCCTGTTATCAATAGATAGGCTGAGCTAGCTTTTGGTTGGTGCTCTTCTTGGTGCCCACATCTAAAATGGGTGGCATTACAATTGGTAATATTTGTGTCTTTTTTTTTTGTGAACACGTAATATTTGTGTCTTAAGCATCTGCAACTAAGAAGGAATTGATACTTAGAATTAATTGAAGACAAATATATGTACCATAAACATAAATTCCTTGTTATTTTGGTACAAATAAATTTTAAAAAAAGAATTTGGGACCCAAACAAGAAACCAATCTCACTACCTGATGTTCAAGCCCCCAGAGCTGATTGCTTCTAGCTCAGCCATCATTTTTGTAATGGAAAAAGTCTACTTAACCCCCCACCTATAATACTTGGTCTACTCCACCCCCAACTATGAAACCGTTTGTTTTACCCCTTGAACTTTCCAAAACCGTCTATTTTACCCCCCCCCCCCCCGATTTTTTTTACAGCGGTTTTGCTACTTTTACAACGGGTTGCTACAGTAACGGTGGGTTTTGATGAGGACATCATTGGCTCAAATGTGACCATGCCAACCACTTTTATACCAAAGGTGCAACCATTCTATATGAGGCTTATCATTGATGCATTTGATGAATTGGTGCTCCACCATAAAATGTGTATATTTTCATTTTCAGAATTATTTACATGGATCAAGGGAAGGTTTGATTGCATATGGAAAGCATGGAAGGTTAATGAAGTTGATTGGGGACCAAATCCAAGTATTCCCAACGTCCTCCACCTGGACACCACGTCACTTTTGGTCCAAGGAAAGAAAGAGATCAAATCCAACACGTTTTGGGGCTGGATTCGGACTCCAGGACAGCTACAACTTGTGATGTTCACCACGGTCGCATACGGACTCGGATTGGGGCGTTCAAGTACTTCATGGAATCCTTATGAAGTCTATTTTCACATGGATCTGGAATCATGTCCATAACTGCTCTGAGGCGGCCGCAATGACCGAATTAATACCGAGAGGTTTTCTGTTCAAAGGTGCTGCGTCGCCCTAGTTTGGTCCAATGGGCCGTGTATCAAGTTGGGTCCATTTGGGACGTGTCCTAGGATTGGAGCACGACCCCAACACCCTGGTGGTCATTGTTCCACCTTCATATACCCCTTAGCCACCACCAAGAACAGTTGGGTTTTGTTTGTTGAAAGTTTAGCCATTGCTACTTC